GAATGTTTTACTTGTTCTTCATGAACTTCTGCAAATTGTTCCTTTTAATATAAAGAGATGCAGAGTGGATTTAATCAGCAATAGTTTTATTCATCAGTTTCTGTTATTTAGCACTAGCACCCAAAAAAAACCATAAATGTAAAGCAATACTAACCCCTGTTTATTTTATATAAAAATCTGATTTTTAGTAAATTTTGATGAAAATTAATGAGACGTGTGATTGAAAATTTGATAAAAGTTGTGAATCTAATGAAATATGGTTAAAAATAAGTTGGAGATAAATGAATTTTTGAGAATGAGGGCCAAACGTGGGCCTAATAACCACAGCTAAAAAATAAGAGTTCGTTTGATTACAAAGGTGGAAATGGGGGAAAGAAAATGTTTTACAAGAAATTGAATTGACTAGAAATTGTTTAACTGAAAATTGTAATTAATTGTGTTTAATTTGTATAATTTTCCACATAGAAAATGTGGAAAATTTGGTATTCGTTTGACTTCATTTTTCATGAAAATTGTTCGCTAAAGTGATAATTGTTTCTACCATTGGGTCTAGAATTTGTTCCAATTACTAAAAAAAAAAAAAAAATAAAAAAATGCAAAAGCTGGAATTCTATTTCCTAGGAAACCAAATTCATCAAAAGGTAGAAAATGTGCACGTGTGAGGATAAAGTGGAAAAGTAATTGTCAAGAAAATTATGGCTATCAAACAAACCAATTGGAGGGAAATGGAATTTAAATTCCAAGTTCCATGGAAAAGTTTCATTATCAAACAGGGCCTCAGAGAAATAAAGAATCGAAAAAGACGATCAGATTCGTGTTTCAGCTACGGTGTGAGCTGTCTGAGGTAAATGGGGGGTTTTTGACAATTGAACTGTGCTATTGGGCCCAGCTCAATGCCAGCCCAAAAACAGGGCGCCCATGTGGCGCTCCCCTATTGGAGGGCGGTCAGCTCCCCTTCCAATAGGGGGGCGCCACATGGGCGCCCTATTAATAATCTTTGGTATGGCAAACTTCTCCATTCATTGAGGATTTGTTCATCTACACATTCAATCTTTGCTGTAGTCGGTTTATACAAAGTGATTTGCTGCATTGTTTTGATCTGGATATGATGGTATCCTTTAATCAAAAGTCCTTCAC